AATTATTTTTTTTTTTTTTTTTTTTTGAAAAAATAATATGTAGAAATCGAGGTACATTTATTTGATTTTCTTTGAAAGCCATCAACTCATTCGTATTTACACTCACGACTTCTCGTAAAGTGCTGGATAATTCCTTTATGTTTATCTGACGTCTTCTAATTTTTGTGTGTTCAGGACAATTCAGGACCCAGCCAGTCAACGACTTACATGGTACAAACCACCTCTCTCCGTCCTCGTCATCAAGAAAGTTCGCGACGTTTCAGTCCTGCAGCCGTTTGTACAGCTCGTCAGATGGCTCATGGAGGTAACTTTACAGTTTACAACATAACAGAGCTTTATCCTGATGTTTCGATGGCATCTTGCTTGTTGCATGTTGCAAAATGTCTCTATCACAAGGGACGCATGTAGAAAATTCTAAATCCTGTCTAAATCTCTTATCAGACCTTCACATCGGTATGGCATTCCAAAAATAAGGTGCCCAGCTTCGGAGAAATACATTTTCACACGTACTTATACTTATAACATGATCAATAATTTAAAATATCATGATCAATAATCAGGGCCGGATTTACCTACTTGCTGCCCAAGGGCCGCCTGTATTTTGCCGCGCCCTTCTCATTCGTTTTGAAACATCAATAAAAACCATCAAGTGAACGTGCCGGAGGAGAGGGGTGCAATGTGCATGAAACGCGTTTACCTACTCGTGTTGAATACATTTTTTGCGAAAGCCCTGTCAACACTACTAGCAAAATTTCACGGACTTCGCGCGAAAGTTAAGTTCCGTAAACCTATCTCTACGTGGACAAGGTCCTCCAATTATAAGAAATTAACCAAAAAATTATGTAAGAACAAACTTAAATGTGGTTTAATAATTTTAACTTCCGCCGGTGCGCCGCGCTGAGCGCACTGTGATTGGCGCAATGCGTGAAGTATTTCTGCAGGCTTGTTGGCGCTATACGTTTCACGCCAACCGCTCCTGACCGCACTGGGTTTGGCGCAATGTGTGAAGTATTCATGCAGTCTTGTAGGCGCTAATATGTGTTACATGCCGATCGCCGCGCCGAGGGCTTGTCTTTTTCATCTCAAGTCCTCTTCATCATTCCTCTCTGCGTTGAGCTCTAGGCCAAATTATGTGTTTAGTTCCTCTCTTCACTCTACTAATTAAAGATGCTATTTCTTGTATCACCGAAAAACGACAAAATTAGAAATGACTATACTCTCAGGAAAGAGAGATTTCGTCCCCTTTTCTCATTGATAATTTTTTTTCTGAATCTAATTTTTTTATACCTACATTTAAGAAAATTTTAAAATTTGCCGCCCCCTTTTGCCGCCATGGGCCGCGGCCCATGTGCCACCCCCTTAATCCGGCCCTGTCAATAACCCAAAATTATGGCCTGGCACTTTGACCTGACGTTCTCGAGAGAATTCAAAAGTGTCGAGCAATGACAGCTGAATTCCGATTTTTTTTACTCAGAACATACATAAAAGTTGCTCCTACAACGCACTCTGGCGTTCTGTGACACCCAAACGCCACATATGCCTATCTTTTTACCCCACATCGATTTTCTTCGCTGGAATGAACAATTATTCGAGTTCCCATTTCAGATCACATTTCGCCCTGCTGCGTTACACTTCATTGACGCTCTCTCTCTCTCTCTCCCTCTACCTTCCGCCCATCCATTCCTCACCCTTTAAACTCTTTTCCACCTTCCACGCTGGTGCACTTTTTTATTCATGTTTTTCGGGGATTTTTGAAGTTACAGGGAATGACAACTCGATTTTGAACTGTCCGTTTGTGACTTTCAGGAAAAGCGGATGGTGGTGTTCGTGGAGGAGTCCGTGATGGACGACAGTTTGTTGCAGAACAACTCAGACTTCATGAGCGTGCGGGACAAACTCATGTCCTTCAGCGACGGCAAAGACGACCTCACGGACAAGATAGATTTTATCATTTGTCTCGGTGGTGACGGCACGCTCCTTTACGCCAGCTTATTATTCCAAGTAAGCATTTGAACTTAAGCTCTTAAGACTTATGACTAAGACTCTTAAGACTAAGACTTAAGACTTATTAAGGGGCCGTCCCTTAATTGCGTAACGCACTTTTTCGGTATTTTTGACCCCACACCCGCTCCCCTTTTGTAACAATTTTGTGATGTAGGTCCCTATCCTTCAGCTTGTAACAACAAAATGGAGTAACGCCCTCCTCGACCCCCCCCCTCCCCCAAAGCGTTACTTAATTGGACTACGTTTTGCAATTTGGAACTATAAATTCTAGCCCGGTTTAAAAACAACGTATGTGCCATTAGTTTCCCTATGCACATAAGTGTTTTTCTAGAAGAGCCAGAATTTATAGTTCCAGATTGCAAAATGCAGTCCAATTTAGGGATGGCCCCTAAGGTGTCCCTAAAGTTCTAACCATTATCTACCTCCTAATATCTGCCTTGAACTTGAATTCATAGAGATGCATTATTTTAAGAATTGGTAGTGAGAAATGTTATACTTTTTTTGTCCAATACGTACGTTTAAAACATCAAGATAAAGCTGAACGGAGGGCAAGGATTCGATCGAAAAATTGAAACGTGAATCGATTGACGTGAACCGATCGACACCTATTCGATCGGCAAATCATTAAAAACCGGTGTCGATTCGATCGACATTCGATCGAAAAATTAAAACCTGATTTGATCGATGAAATTCGATCGATTCACGTGTTTAATGTCAATCGAATCCATACCCTCCGAGTTGAACTACCTCATTCTCTCTTGTTCAGGCAGACAGCTGGATCATTTTGCCTCATTTTTAGCCCTTTTCTGGCACGAAAAATTAAACAGCAATTAGAACGCTTTTCCTGACTTCCTCGTGTTAATCTTGTCATGAAGTTTTTAAAGTCAATTTTTCTGATAAGGCCATGCTTGAAATTTAATGATTTATATTTTCTTTTTCAGCAATCTGTTCCTCCAGTCATGGCATTTCATCTAGGTTCTCTTGGCTTTTTAACGCCTTTTGAGTTCGAGAATTTTCAGGAGCAAGTTACAAATGTCCTTGAAGGTATGGTTTTTCTAATTTTTTTATCACCTTTTACATTAAATTAATGTACCTATTTTCCAATTCCGTAAAATAAGTTCAAATCAAATCCCAACATCATATAGATAATTCTTTTTGAGTTTGCAGTTCTCAAATGTCATGATAATTCATTGTTCTGAAATATTAATTTGATACATGGATGAGACTTAAGTATCTATTGAACTGAAGGACTTTAGTATTTCGTATTGCTTATTATGGCCCCTTAATGTTACCAGCATTGTTCAAAGAATTTTATCTTGAAGATAAATGAGCTGGTCTCTCTGACAATCCTCTATGATAATCTTTTCAGAAAATTTCAAGCAGTAATTAAATCTATCAGCCTATTGATGAGCAACTGGAACTTGATACGAAGGTCCAGAACATTTAACTGTCTTGCGAATTGTTATTCTCGAAACACCCCTTCGTTCATGTTTCATACTTCAGTGGCATTTCAGGCATGGGCGCAGGAAGGCGGGGGGGGGGGAGGATGCGCCTGCCCCCCTCCCCCCAGAATCCTTAATCATTACCCTCTCAAACAAATATTTAATTATGCCCACTAGTTTAAGAAAGGGGCGATTATATTATTCTCATCCTCTTTTCTCAAGATTTTCTCTTGTTTTCTCTGAAGAATAAAGGGCTGATGAATAAAGAAAAATTTATAGGAGCAAAGCTGACCATCCATCCATAGCATCTCGGGTACTCTCATTGTTTGCTCCTCCATGAAATTTGTCTCGGCAAAAACATATTATGTATTTCTCGTTTCTTCATTGTAGGTCATGCTGCCCTTACTTTAAGGAGTCGCCTTAGATGCATAATTATGCGGAAAAATGAAGACACCAGTAAGTCCTCAGGCCCACCGACAAATTTACTCGTCCTCAATGAAGTGGTCATAGACCGTGGTCCATCTCCGTATCTTTCAAACATAGACTTATTTTTAGATGGAAAACACATAACCTCAGTTCAAGGAGATGGTGAGTAGATTGTATGGCTTTATCCTTTTAGCTAGAAATTGTGTCCACCCAAAAAGAGAAAGTCGATTTGCTTAGGATATTAGTGAAATTTCTTTAATGGCTCATTTCCCAGCTGAGTGAGATGAGTGTTACATGTTTGATGGGTAATACTAAAGGATCAATAAGCAGTCTGTCGTCTTTTTGTTTAAAAGAAAATTAAACACAGAACGATCGGAGCGAGTAAAAACTTGTGCAGGTAATATCCCTTATAAGAGAATATTAAGACTAGTAATGGTAATTGGGCTTTTTATTGATAACATGTAGCTAATGACAGTGAAACTTCCTAACCTTGTATCTCATTTGCAGTTTTTAAAAACCAGCTGTAAATGTAATTTTTTAACAGCAATTAAAAACTCTTTCATCGTTCAATTTTAGAATATCAAACAGCTATTTAAGTACAATTCCCGATTACAAAATTGTTGTTTAAGTATGACTATTGTTGACTGCTTTCACTCCGAATTTTTAAATGTTCAATGGCTATTTTGCTACAAAGGTCAAGATAAATCCATTTAACTTTTCAGTATCTAATCATCATTTACTATGATAAGCTTGGATACAATGCCAATTCATTTTGTTTAATTTTTTCTCAAGTCTTTCTTTTTACTGTTTTTTATTCTTTGCATTTTTTTAAATCCCAATCAAATATTTCAGGCCTCATTGTATCCACTCCCACCGGAAGCACAGCATATGCAGTAGCTGCTGGTGCTTCAATGATTCATCCAAGTGTGCCAGCCATTATGGTCACACCTATCTGTCCTCACTCGCTTTCATTTAGGCCGATCGTTGTCCCAGCCGGTGTTGAACTTAAGGTCAGTTTCCCATGCTTATTTTATTTTTTCCTAACTTTAAAAGAAGAAAATTTAAAAAATAGAATCTATTGGTCAGTTCATATATCTTTCATCGTTTTCCATAAATACGTCAATAGGTAATCAAGTGGAAGCTACTGTTTTGGCTAATTTACCATTACTCAAAATAACCTACACGAAATTTAAATTTAAACCTGATTCAACATAAAAAACTTCTTTGATCAAATTTAGAACATGTCAACGTATATTTGAGACGAGGTTGAAGGATTTTTCTCGAAATCCATCCGAGGCAAAGTGCTCTAAAGGCATGTTTCAAAACTGAATCTCAACCTCTTCAGCTTCGTCCTTCTTAAAATTTTTTCGTAATCCTCAATTTCAGGACAAAAAGTTTAATGTGCAGTTGTCTCTTTTCACTGTAAAAATTTTATAATGTATCAAAAAATTAAGTAAACTATCTTGTTATTAGATCTCTGTTTCACCTGACAGTCGGAATACCTCCTGGGTGTCATTTGATGGTAGAAACCGACAAGAATTATTTCACGGCGATAGGTAAACTTGAGTTTCTCCTAATTATGGTTGCATCCATAGCATTGCATCGCATCGCTCCATTGTTTTTGTCCTCAAAAGGGTGTGCTTGCTTTTTGGAGTGATTTGTTTTACAAGATTATAGGCATCTAATATATTTTGCATTATCAGCCACTATCGTAGCAATAATATTTTAATTTGTTTGAGTAGTGCAGTGTACTGGTAAGGCTTGAGGTTCATTATTTTAATTTCCATTGAGTTTTTTTCCATCAGTATCATGCATGAGTTTGTTTACTTTCATGGGAACCATCATACAAGTCAAAGAGATCATGAATTTGATTTAATTTTTCCTTCCCATTTTAAACTGCTGGTTTTGACATATGTAGCATTCAAGAAGGAAAAAAATGACCTTTTTTAAGTTGTTTCTATACCTTCATTGGATTATTAAGCTGCAAAAATTACTAATAAATTATTTTCAATGAAACTGTTTGTACATCAGTAATTTCCTTGAGTTAAGTCCTTTTAGAATGGCTATGGAAACATATCTAGGTGTTTGTTTAAATTGACAAATTTTTTCCAGTCGTCTCTCTTTCTTTTCCAAAATCAATTCTTTTTCCTTTCTTTAAAACAATTTTGTCAACGTTTTAAAGTTTGAAGTCATATTTTCATTTTTTGGTGCTTTTTTGTGACTGTATGCAATCATTGGGATTCAAAGAATACTTGGTGAAGTATCTCTTGATAATAAGAAATCTAAGCTGCTCAGCTGAAGGAGCTACGAGACAACCAACTGATGTAATGCTGAATTTCAGCATCTTAATTTTCACAAACGTCGGTGTAGCGTCAATCTAAAAAGTTGGAAGCTTTATTTTCTCAGAAATTGTTGCAGCACTTTTTCAATTTTTTTTCTTGCTCAACAAATCGAGAGAATTGGGCTAATGCGGCTTGAAAAAAAAGGAAGACTTCAGCCTCTTCAAGCTCTCTCAGACGTCAATGGCCATTAAGCATAATACCATTTAACACTTTGGTTTCTGATATGAATAACAATTCCCTTACTCTTCTCAGGACCGTAATTAAGGAGAGGCAGAACCCCCTCCCTCTTTTGCCTTTTGCGTTCAGAAAATATACTTGTAAAAAAGATCCCAAAAGATCCCGTTTTCTCATGGTTCCATGGAAAATTTAATGCATCAAGTATTGATCATCCGTATTCTTCAAGGAGTGCTTACTCAGGCACTTCATATATAAATTTGTGCTGCTGAATCTCGCGGCTTTCTTACCAAAACAAACGATGCATGGTTTTAAGTGTGATTATTTTCTAGATTATGAAAACTATGAAGTGAATGTTACAGATCATGTTGAATGATGACTCTAGAAACACAGCATGGGTATCTTTTGATGGCCGTAATCAGCAAGAATTGCTGGCTGGCGATAGGTAGCTTTTCACAAATTATATACTCTCATAACAGTACTGTACAGACCTACCAATCTTTACTTCGAGATCATCTGACATTCTTTCTGCAGTCTAAATTTCTATCTTTTTCTATACTGACGTATGATCGTATTTTTGCTGTAAGAAACTTTATGCATAGGGTTTTGTTCAACATAGTTTTTTTTTGGCATAAATACGTCTATATCAAGGAGCACTTCTGATGGAATACCCAAAAACATTTGCTTCTTTTTAGTATAAAAATACCTTGCAAAGCGAGTTGTCAGCTGCAGCTGCAGCTCTACTTTTATGTTATGTTGGTTCCAATATTCAAAAATATTCTTTCTTCTATTTTCATTGCTTAGCTAATACTACTAACAATTTATCTCTCTCTTTTCTCCATCTCTCCTCAATACATATTTCCAAGAAGCTGATTTTTAATATCATATAACTATGTGTGTTCTTTTAAAATATCAAATCTATAATGTGTGAATTCAAAATACCTATCCAATTTATAATAATTATGTTAACATTTCCCTCTTTTTTCAAGGGGCTCACAATGGTTAATGAATTACTAACAACATTATAATGAAACTAACTCAGTTTTAACCTTTTTTTACAAGCTTTAATTTTAGTTATATTTTTTTTTTCTTCAAAAGTGCCTTCAATAATCTTGTTGAAAATATTTTGTAAAATGAAAACTTGTTTATTGAGCTGAATGAATAATTCCTCTATGGATGGAGGAATAGAGTACGCCTTCACATTTTTGCAAGTTCGTGAAATCTGTTCCTCATAAATTGCTTTTTTGCCTATTTTGCTGCTTTTTATTTTTAACTTTTAGACTTGGTGTTCTCATAATAGTTGCAATTGTGCTTTAGGTGGTAGTTTTGTGCTGCCTTTGACTTTGGGGCTTTTCATGACTGATGTGAGTGATGCATTCAGTTTTGCATGTTATTTTTAAGCTTAGAACATCCATACGCTAAACATTTTGTTTCTCACTTCTTGTGATTATAATATTTCCACAAAATATTGCCTCTTTGTCTCTTACAAAATAAAAGTCATGATTGTTCAGGTGGGGCAAAAAATGGTAACTATGAGAGGCTGTTTGAGAGGACGGTTTTTTAGTGGATTTTTAGTTGGTGGAAAGAAAGCTTCAAGCTTTCTAAGCTTTTAGAAGAAGTACTTATATTTAGTTCAGTAGTATATTGACAGAGAAACTGCAAAAATACATTTTTCAGTCACAGAGTCTTTAAGCTGTACTCCTATTTTATTATTTAAAAGCAGACTAAACCAACAACATGGTTTGAAAATGTCACAGAATATTCTTTACATAGAGAAAAAAAAAATCACTGAAGTTTTCAAGACATGGCATCTAGTAATTTTCCATGAGGAAAATGAAGAGGACGAGTATAATAGAAAGTCTGCAATGCTGCAAACCGAGATACACATCTCTGCAGTTTCACCATCAATATGGTGTTTGTTCAAAGAAATAACCCTTTAAATTCTTTTTGTATCATTTTCACACGATATTTTTTGAAAAAAGGACGATTAGAATTTAAAATGAACTTGTATTTTTGAATTGCTGTCCAGGCAACAGCAGTGCAAATTGATCACGTCTATCTTGTGTTCATGATTCTATCTCCTTTGACAGCTTTTTAAGCTGCCTCAGGTTGTTGAACAGCTTAGCAGACATGTTCGCCTTAAGTGCTGTGCTTGAATTATTTGATGATCATGAAACTCAGTATGCCAACATAATCCACACAAGAAAAAGCTAGTGGCACCTATGAAGCTAAGCTGTGTCATGTACATTTTCCTCTTGTATCTCTTCTCAATTGAGTCACTAATCATATCATTCCTTGTCCCTTGCAGCTTACGCGTGACAACGTCGATCTATCCAGTTCCGTCGATTTGTTCTCAAGACCAGATCTCCGACTGGTTTGATTCACTAGCTGAATGTTTACACTGGAACGTGCGGAAGAGGCAAAAGCATTTAGATGAACTAAGTGATCTCACTCACTCCAGTTCAAATGACACATTAGATTCTCTGGAGCATCAAATGGAGCATCTAGAGAGCTAGGTTTGTTTTTCTTTTCCTCCTTACCTTAATATTTTTTATAATCGAGACATAAAGCTGGCTGTAGCAAAGAATTTTTTTATAATCAGTTTTAATTAAAAAATGGAAGTCTACTGAACATAAGAACTGGAACACCATCATCATACATAATTGATCAATGTGTAACAATTTTGGCCACTTTAAGCCTTCCTTTTGTCCAAGAAATAAAAAAAAAGAAAGCAGGGGTCACAATTGTGTTGTTCGGTGGCCCAGGATTCCATGCTTTGCCTCTCTCTTAGCATCTCTATGTCTCTTTCTTATCATCCGGAGCCTTTAATAGTCCGGCTCTTCTGCCTATTTGCAGCGTGATTTGAGTCCGGCAATGAGTGCATGATGCGACAGAGGCAAGTGACGAGAGCATGGAGAAAAGGGCTGGGAGAGCAGCTCTATGCAAGCTGTTAGGTTCATCAGATAAATCACTGTGACACTAGCGTTTTTAACCCGTGACAAGCGCCACTATGCATGTATCTGTTTAGAGTTCCGTCCACTATATCGGGCTAATTTTTGGGAAAATTTTGCTAAATTGGAGTGCGCGGAAGAGGCAGGAAAGGGGTCGTTGATAAAATCAGCAATGCTCCTGGTGGACAGAAGCTTGAAAAGAGGGTTACTTTAGTTTTGTATTAAAGATAGGAACCTGGAAAAAAGTGTTACGAAAGGGGGGGGGGTAAAAATCTGAAATTTAGTGTGGTACATGTTTTATGAATGGCCCCAAAAACAAATTTAAATTTAATTGATTCTAGCCGACTTACAGACATTGTTGCTATTTTTGTTTCAGATGATAAGTCAGCAAAATTGGAGGAAGAAAATGACAATAATGTATGCTCTCAGCTTTTTCTTGTTTTCTCTCAATTATTTGCCAACAACTGGATAAGAATGATTATTCCTGTTTTTCTTCGTACTCCAGGCATAAAGGGGCAAAGAATGCATCCCAATTTTTATCCGGTTATAAGCATATCAAACATGACATTCACATGCGTGTTTAAATTTTTGTACTTAATGATTTATTTAGGATGCATCCTGTGCCTGGAACCCTCTGAACGCAGGTTTCAAAAACCTCTGAAAATTCTTTTGTCCTCCGCAAAGTTTTATTATGTAGTTAAATTGTTATAAGCAAAATTAAGTGATAGTCTAAGTGTAAGTACTATTAATTTATATGACAATTGTTTCTGTTAATGTTATAAAATTTTCAACAAGCTCTGTTGTATCTGGAAAGGTGAAACCCACCTGTAATTTTTGAATGGTGCTGATAAGTCCAGCGTTGCCCGATTCTGAAAAAGATCTTTGAATTTCAAGTGAGTTCTCACTAGAATGTACAAAAAATTCTTTAACCTGGCAACATTAGAGAAGTGCTTTTGTTGATTCCTTTGTGCTGTATTATTATTTTAATTATTTTAAATGTGATCTTTTACCAACTAATAAATTCAAGTTATCGGTCAATCGGGAGATTGAACCTTTTTTAAAAGTTGTTTACAAATAATTTCATTCTCTGTGCCTCGAATGCAGAAAGAGAAGGAATCATGGACTGAACGGTGAATTGCTAAATTATGTTTGAATTGGCACATTTTTGACAGTGAAATTCGTTGTTGAATAATTTTTAATTTCACACTACTTGCATCATTGAAATTTCTTTTATATTGAGATATAAAACAATGTTCATTACAAAAATCTAACCAAGATGATAGACTTCATTTAAATCTCTAAAAAATTTATAAAATAAGTCAAATATCGTTGCTGATGAATCTACAAGATTTCTAAGAGCCTTGAATTCAGGCAGCTAGGTTCAATCAGTTTGTCAGAAGTGCTCTCTCAATATTAGATGTGAATTAATTAATTGGCTACAAATTTAAGTAATGTATTTTTAATGAAATTTATTTATTAAATTTCATTGACATTAATCACTTTTCTTTAACAATTTCAACGATCCTGATGTACAATTTGAATTTTCATTTTTCCTCATGAAGTTTATGGAAAAGTTTGAATTGAATCCAACTGTAGACACATTATCTCTCAAAAACATCTTCGAAGTAGTCTAAGCTTCTCTATTTTTTCATTTTTGAATGAAATCAATGTTAGTAAAATCTTCTTAAAAATTTTGGAAGCCCTCACATTAGTCTCCAGATCTAGAAAGCACCGAGTGTAGCTTCCAAAACTCACATTTACTCTAACCTCATAGGTTTCTTTTTCAATATATCTTGCTGGTAGTTGTCAAATTTTAGAATGATTATTTGCGTGTTCAAAAGTAAATAAGTGTTTCTAATTATGTATGACGCACCAAAATGTGACAACTACCAATCGTGTGCAATAATTTTATTGTGAACTGAACAATTCTAAAGCTCACTTTTCATTTTGTATGCGTCAGTCATGAATGAAGATCAAATTAACCGAGTTAAAGGGCTGTCAGTGAATGTGTATTCAAATGAAGAGAAATGTGCAAGTTTATTTGCCATGGGTTTTAATGAGGCATATTTTCAAAATCATTTCCGTTGAACAGTCCACAGACAATTAATTTGGTTTTTTCTTCAAATTGCTCCTCTGCAGCCTACAAATTTGCTTAGAAGATTGTGCAAGCACATTTAGAGCTGGTTTATGGCTTGAAGTCGAGGAACCCATTGAAGGCTCCCCAAGATAAAAGACTGAATTTTTGCAATCAAACTTTCATTCTCAAAATCTTAATAAATCTACTTTACCGTCTGTATAAATGGTACAGGTATGATTGAATTGTGGATCTGAAAAATCAATACTATCTGAAGAATGTTCACGTTTTAGTGCGGTCTTAAATCGGAATTATTGAACCGGTCAGAGACATCAACTACTCTTTCATGTCTCCATTCTCAAATTTCTTGCTTGAAAGTATTTTCATTTGCTTAAAGTGATTGTCTTCTCTTATCTCAAATCATTGACAAAGACTGCTCTTTGCTTTTCTCATGAAGTATAAAAAACTCGAAAAATTTTGACCTTTTCTCCTTTCTATTGTTGCGCCATAATTTTTCTCTTTTAAATGTATGATCAGTTGGTTTTAAATTATTCCAAAAAATTGTTCTCTCACTGCATATGTTTTGATCCTCAAAAAACAAAATCATATTGTCCAAAGTATCAAAGTGTGAGTTGACCTGAGCGTCCCAAGATTTCTCCCAACCTAAAGCTTCTACTCAAAAACCTTCTGCTCAATTAATATGCATATCATGAGTTCCACATCCTCATGCGGTATTTTTTAGAGATACCTACTAAGCTGAAGGCAGGTTTCGTCCTTATATTTGTAGCAATCTTCAATCATCGTTTTATTTCTTGAAGTAGATACCCTTCTCAAATCGTAGTCTATTCGTTTCTCTTTCATTGAGGCTCCTTACCCTCAAACAACTTTTTTACAGAACATCGGAATCAATTTTATTCAAAGAGTTTTCTAACTCCAACATATTACCTCAAATATCTAGATTAATAATCAGCAAATTTTAAAATGCATTTATAATCCTAATCTGCAAATTGTTATTCTGTTTGCAAATACAGTCAGTAATACTTTGATTATCCAATGAATTGTGGCAGGAACCTGAACCGGATACCAAAACACTGAATAATCGAAAAATCATAAAAACATACTAAACCACAGTATATACGTTGGGAAAAAATGAAAGAAATTTTGATAAACTTAGAAAAGTGACATGTTAGACAAACAATGAGCAGATAACTTATGTATTATTGTATTCAAACAGAAAAAGAATAAAAACCTGTCATGAATCATCTACCACAAAGATGTCCTGTTCTCCAATAACTCTAAAAGCGTTTGTTCTTTTGACGTAATAATATAAAATGCCTTATTTTCTTTAGAAACTTTTTCTTTTCAAAAAATCTTCTCATAACTTAATTCTTGCAGTAAAGGCATCCAACATCACCATTGAACATTTTCAGAAAAATTTTTAAACAGGTTTTCAATGATTTATTGTTGCTATTTGTGTTCATTTTCATTATACATGTCGAAAAAAAAAAATATGAAACTACTAAAATGTAGCACTGAAGTTCATAGTGCTGGGTCATTCACTTGTACTTCCGTTTTGGTGTGTAAAAGCTATCTGTCCTCTCCGGTCTTCAGTGACTAAAAAAGCATAAAAATTTATCACAGTCATATTAGTATTCCGCAAAAACAATTGAGCTTTTGTTTCTCAAATTCTCTTCAATTTTAAAGCTTGGAAATATATAAGCAAATTGTTACAAACCATTTTTCAAAGATGTATTCAGTCTCACATGGATGTAATTGAGATATTGAGTGAAGAATAATAAATAAATAAATTAAAAAGACTATGTCTTTATCATAGGTTTATTCTACTCAGAAAATTTATCGCACTCAACCCTGATCTCTTTCACTTGTCTTACAAAGTGACAGTTTGATATAAAGGAAAAAATACATCCATTTTGAATCTAAGAATTGACAGATTTTTGTCAACTGTCAGAAAGTTTGAAATGAAGTGGTAAATAAATAAAGTTTTAATTCTCTCTGTAAAGGCTTTCAAGTGGTGAGTCTTCCGACCAAGGTAATTACTAATTTTGTAAAATAAACAATGGCCTAAAAAAAAAGAAGAAAAAACGCTTGCAATATTTTCATAAATTTTCAACATCATTTAATTTTTCCCTATCCCAACTATTTTGGGACCATCATATTTTGTAACAACATGTTTCCATCTACTATGTAATTTATCTATTTGATCGCAACTTTTCCCTGACAATAAAATTGTTCTTCCCCTACAAGTGCCAACAAATGAATACTTATCAGATATCCATTTCTTCATCATTTGTTTTGTGATGAAATTGTTTTCGGAAAAACTCGGAACGTTTCATGCATGAAATTGAGTAGATTTATTTTTGTTATTCAGCTATCATTCTTGGTGAATTAGAAGTTTCTGTATTTTCTACAGATGAATTTTAAGAAAAATACCAGTACATTTCTCAAATTTTTCTTTCAGTAGAATGCTTTAATCGAATAAAGTTTAAAAATGTTTTTTTATCATAACGTTCAGGTTTTTTTTTTTTTTATCTAATTTTTTTAAATGAAATTGGCACATCTATGCCTTAACCATCAGGAGTTTCAACTCCTCCCAGAACGCCAAATGGTACAATGTAAAACAATTTTTCTTAAATAAAATCCCTGACTTTCTTGTTCACGCTGTTTGGTACAACTAGCAATGTCTGTCATCTACTTCAGTAGTTTTTCTCCATCATGACATTTTGGCAGCCATTAAATTTTCAAGTTATTAATTGTTGAACCTTTCCAAATTATGCTGTGCATAATTTTTCAAAGTATTAATCATAGTTTTTTCCCTACTTTTCATTTTTAATTTTATAATTTATTTACTGCATACTTATACACTCGTCTTAACAATTATTTACTTGTATCTGTTTGTGTAGTCATAACTTTTATTTTGAATTGTATTTGAAAATAATATTTTTTATTCATCAATCATTTATGAGAATTGTAACTGCTTATTTCTGTCCTTCATTATCTCTACCTTTACCCGTGTTTTTCTCTTTTTGAGTTTGCCGTAAATGAATTCAAAAAGTTAAAGTATTGTACTTATCAAGTTTGTATTGGTCTTGAAAGCAAACAACAGGTAATTGAAAGTAATCGTGAGCAAGGATGTCTCCCAGAAAATAAGAGTGCTTTTTTCCCCCTCAAAATTTACCAGAGCTAGAATTTTGAAGGCTATTTTTAAAAAATTCTGTTCTTTTGAAAAATCTAATTTTTCCTCAGACTTCCTCAAGGAACTCATACCTTTTTTTAGGGTTCAATGCTAGTTCATTCCCGTCCCTTTTTTTCAATAATTGTTGAAGCTGTACAAATAGTCGTCATTTTGTTCGAAAAGTATTTTATTTTAGAATATTAACTATTAATAAATAATCTGGTTTTGGATTTGAAGGAATTGATTTGTAGTCTTCAATTGACTTTGATGAAGGCTGTATCCAAGAAGGTAGAACTTTTAGATCAGGGAAGTCCCAGTTCCAAGCTGCCAATTGCATACAATTTTGAAAATAATGCTTGAAAAACGGTCCATAATGCTGCCGTGGTGATTAAGATAAATTGTTTTGTTTGTAAAAGTTATAACCTAGTTTACATTTTGTCTGCTGCAAACAAAAAAGAAAGTAGTCTAAAATTGAATCAAAGTTTGCAACATTTGGAAAAAACCTAAAAGTTGTAATATCAGAAATTAACCCACAAAACAGGTTGAAGTGATGAACTATAGTTGTCAAGTAACTGTGAAGTCCAAACATACAAAACAGCTCTCAAAAAGAATATATAATGGAAAGCCTGCCTAAATTTGAAGCTGAAATATCTTGAATACGTAATAAATAAATGAATGAAAGTACATATGAATTAATTAGATAGAGACCAATACACATTCAGTTAGCATTCAGATATTTATCTGACAAATACAGGTTTTGCTACCTAAAAAAAAATCAATCCACACTATGTCAGCATTTTAACGTTAAAATGGGGTTGAAACATTATTGAGGAATAAAACTTTAAAATAGAGTTTTGGCACCAACTGGCTTTTTTTAGAGTCAACAAACTACAGGAGGAAAGGTGAATAAAAAAAAAATAAAATAAAATAAAGACTTGCGGACAATATATTTACAGTTTCACACCTACAATTTTTCCTCTATTATGAGGAACAAGAAAATTATAAGGACATTTAAAAGTGAGGAACAACGTCTCTAAGAATTATCCATCTAAAAGTGTGTATTTGCGTGGGTGTTTTACTTTCTTACCTACTATCATAATTGCCAATAATTTCAAAACAAGTCTGTTTGGCGGAGTCTGGCCTTCCTTTCTCCTAAAATATTTGCTCAGAGGAGAAGGATTGTCAATAAAACAAAAAGGTTACAGAAGTTTAAGTGGCAAACTTACGTTAAAATTCAAATTGCTTTAAAGTGAGTCGGAAATGGTCGGATATCAGGGCCGGATTAAGGGGATGGCCACATGGGCTGCGGCCCATGGCGGCAAATCTAGAGGGCGGCAAATTTTGCAATTTTTTTAAATGTACCCAGGTATAAAAAATATCGGATTTAGAAAAAAAAAAAAAATTACAAACGAGAAAAGGCGACAAAATCTCTCATTTTCTGAGAGTGTAGTATTTTTTAATTTTGTCGTCTTTCAGTGATACAAGAGACAGCACCTATAATTAGTCGAGTTAAGAGAGAAACCAAACACGCAATTTGGCCTGGAACGGCGCGGCGCAGAGAGCAATGATGACGAGGACTTGAGATGAAAAAGAGAAGCCATCATCGGCAGGGCGATCGGCATGTAACACATATCAGCGCCTACAAGACTGCACGAATACTTCACGCATTGCATGAAACACAGTGCGGTCATTGCGGTCAGCGTGAAACGGATAGCGCCTACGAGGATGCATGAATACGTCACGCATTGCGCCAAACACAGTGCGGTCAGCGTGAAACGCATGGCGCCTACAAGAATGCATGAATACTTCACGCAGTGCGCCAAACACGGTGCGGTCTGCGCGGCGCGGCGGCGGATGTTAAAATCATTACACCACATTTATGTTTGTTCTTTCATAATTTTTTCGTTCATTTCTTATGAATGGAAGGCCTTGTCCACACAGAGATAGGTTCACAAAACTTAACTTTTGCTAAGTAGTAGTGTTGACAGGGCATCCCCAAAAAATGTGTTCAACACGAGTAAACGCGTCTTGTGTACCCCTCCCCCGCTGGCACGTCCACTTGGTGGTTTTTATTGATGTTTCAATACGAATGAGAAGGGGGCGGCAAAATACAGGCGGCCCATAGGCGGCAAGTAGGTAAATCCGGCCCTGTCGGATATTAGTAAAATTTCAGAATTGAATCTAAGGAATTTCTATGAGTTTCCTGTTTGGTTCGATGTTACTAGGTGTCTGAATCAACGGTGGGGCTAAGTTCTGTATATTATGTAAAAGAGATGAGGCTAAAAAGCCTAAGTAAATCAAGATTTTGGGAGGATTCCCCGCCGGAGACTCCGTAACACATGACAGTTTTCTATCACTTGAAACTCGATTGAATAACAATGATCCTGATGCTCAATCTTGGAAACACAAGTGCCTATCAATTCTACACTAACATTGATGCTCAATGCACAGTACCTTCCTACTTCAAGTTAAGAGGTTAAAAAATCCGACTAAATCTTACTAAAAGTCGGATTAAAAACCTCACCTGAAATTTGGACCTTGTCTAAGTAATGTATTTAAAGTATATGACATTCAATGAGTCTATCATCATGCTGCGCTTCAAATTTAATTATATGAGCTCAAAGTTTCTCAGAGAAATAATACCTAGTAATATGGATGGATGTACCAAAAGTTTCGTGTTGATGAATGCCGATGAAGACTCCATTCAGAAAAGACCTCAAAGGCACAATTTCGACGTAGAGCGCCTTCGTCTTAGCGTGATACTAAACGCTTTGCCACGAAATTAGTTAAGTTCCTGGCCGATCGGAACACAAGAAATGATCTTCGCTTTGAAATTCAAGAGAGATTTCATTTTAAAAATGTTGTAGAATAAACTTTTCTCACCATGGCTGTCATGGCCGACTGTACCAGTTGTCACATCTTGAAATTATTTAAGTAGGCACTTATCTAAGTTGCGTTTAAGTCTTTTAGCTTTCCTGTGTGTTTCTTCCCGGACCCAATAAAAGTTGCAGGAGTGGTCTCGGAAAAAGACGACAGGCAGATGAGAGATGAAATCAGTTTATTTTTCCCCCGTCTAACTGAAGAAGAATAAAAAATATTTTTGAAACCATCATTATCATTAGAAATTCACTTCCATGACGCCCGGCGGCAGGTCATTAGCGAGAGGCTCGGGTTCTCCAAATGTGACGTTCACGCCGTAGGTCCACAGCGTCTGCGTGACGGGGAAATCGCAGACAATGAACCTGTCGTTCTCAAATTTCACGAATGGGTCGGAGCTCCCGCGGTACAATTTCAATTCGATCTCCTTGCGTTTGACCTGGTCCTTCAATCTCCTGAAATGGTCTTCCTCGTCCACCTCAAATGCTAGCTTATACTCGTTCCGCTGAAAAATAAAAAAAGAAGGCAAAACCTAGATAATAATAAGGAGGGATAAGATCAGCACATATGAGGGGCTTAGACGATGAGGCGCATCAGTGCAGTTTTTGCTATTTCGAAAAATACGCGTTTGAAGTTTCGAAATTACACGGATTCACATGGTGGAAAGAAAGTTCAAACTGACTTATTGATACTTAAAAATTGAAATTTGGAAGCGAATTTTTCACAGAACATGCATTAAGACTAGTTTTACTTGGAATCATTAATATCTCAATTTTTTCGAAAGCTGCACTTATGCGCCTTGTCCTCCAAGCCCCTCATCTATACTCGCGCTTTTCAAGTTCCACAGGTTCTTTGCCTGAGATCGGCATTACTTTTTTAAGCATGAGGTTAAATATTTTAATCGAGACCGAGGCGTCCTACATAAGTAGAACTAAACCGAGCGCCGAGCGCTTATAAAAGGATATCACTCTAAGGAAAAGATAAGCGAAAGCGAAATCATAATTGAAAAAGAAGAACATATTTACTGATTACGATGGGAAAAAATTAGATGAAATAAAGGACTAACTTATAATGGATGGAGCAACACTTCCGCCGCGGGGCATTTTGCACGTAGCAGACTCGCCCGTCAGGCGACTAGCAACCGCATTACCGCATTGTGTTACATTTGATTGGATTTTTAAATGATGCAACCATTCGGCCTCGGCGACCACGCTAGGAAGTATCTTATCTAATTGAAGGCGTTTCTTATGCGTTGGACGATGATCGTCGAATTTGATAGACAAAGCGATAGACAAAGCAGACTTACGGAGTATTGGTTGAAATGGTTGGTTCCCATCGATCCCTGCTAAAAATTGGCGATAGGAGCTGCGTTTCAAAATACCATAGGAATTCTTATAGCCGACTAAAGAAGGCTATTGAAAATCATAAAGCTGGCTGTAGAAAGCGGAGCAAATCATATAGCCGGGCTATACAAAGCTATAAAAAAGTATACAGTCGGGCTACAGTTCCAATCGCCGGGCCTTACACTTTATCGCCATTGGCTATGAAAGGCTATAAGAAATTGTGTAGAAATTCGTGTGCTTTGGAAATCATTAAGTTTGATACGGAACTACCTTAATATTTACAAAACACACATTATATTTTCCTTTAAAGCATTTCTTCTTTCATCAATTAAAATGAGAATAGTCCATACAAAGCGTGCAAACATTTCAAAATCATGAGTTGAAAAACGCTGACTCCACGAGATTAAATATCGACGGTGAAACTACCAAACCACGTATCTCGTTTGCGGTGTTTAAAAATCTACGCTCGCATTTTATTTTTTTTGAAGTAGACCAAATCAATATCATTCCTTGAAATTTTTACAGAATTTTCTCCGCACGAAGAGGAAAAGTCAAGACTGGACGTTAAGTAGTTTTTTATTTAAAGAATAAGGTATGGCAGGAAGTCTGAGACGTCGCAAACCGAGATACGTGGTTTGGTAGTTTCACCGTCGATATTAGAGCCTAACAAAAAGCGGAGCGACGACGCACTGGCGCCTACAAACCTAACAGGGATACTTCACGCATTGCGCAATGCGTGAAGTATCCCTGTTAGGTTTGTAGGCGCCAATGCGCGTTTCGCGCTCTCTGCCCGCCCGCCGCGCCGCAGCGTGCCACGGCGTCTGAAGCAACTATTTCACACAAGAAGTATTGCATAGTATCATAAGAAATTAAAGGCACTCCAACATAATAAGAATGACAGGCATCCTTCAAAAGTACGGAGTTTTCCTCGCAAAATAAATCAAGACACTACGGGACAAAAAGAGAGCGGTAGTCCAAAAACTAACTAAGTCCTGTATTTAATAACGTTTAGCATAAACTTTATCGTCTGGCTGTTGCTTAATCGCCATCGGCTATAAAAGGCTATGAGAAATTGTACAGCCGGCTACAGAAGCTATTGGCAATCTTACAGCCGGCTTTAGGTCTATAGTATTTTGGAACACACATTCTAATGCCAATTTTTACCAGAGGACTAACCCTGATAAAACATAATATTTTTACCATATTGGGCAAATATTGTCAGTATTGTCGCAATATTTACACAATACTGACAATATTTTGATACTATTTTAATCAAAATTATTTTTTTAAAAAATATTTAAAGAATCTTGATTTAGTATTTTTAAAAATAATATGTTTACCCAAAATATCATAAAAATATTTCCACAGTATTGGCACAGTATTTCTCAGTATTTTAAAGTATTGGCATAGTATTTAAGCCAAAATGAAATATGGTGCACACTTTTAACATTGGCTCAATATTTAACCAATATTGGCCCCATGTTTGCATAAATATCCAAACAATATTGTTTAAATATTGGGTAAATATTTCTGTCTTATCTGGGCAAGGGAGAAAATAATTGACTAATTATAGGGCCTCTCGTGGGTTGCCGTTAGTTAGTCCGTTGCAACCACCCGCTTCCACCAATAGGATCCCTCCATATCCTTTCTATCTTCTTTGTCTATCGCTTTGTCTACCAATTTCAACAATCAGGCCGCGGATGACCACCAAAGAAGCCATTTTACCTTTTTCTTCTTCCAGAAGGTGAAGGACACCAAGGCCTGGGTTTTCGGGTCTAGCGTCATCTTCTGCGACGGCGCCGAGATTTCTCGGGTTTCCGAGTGGGCGTTTGTATTGGAGTAACTCGCCCCAAGCTTCATCGTGAACTCGGTGCTCCCGACGAGAGGCACCCCGATCGTGGACTTGGACTCGATCGAGGATTCCACCCCTATCGTCACCTCGTGCAAGTCCGTGGCGCTCTCCGTGTAGTGCGGCGTCGATCCCTCCTGCGGTTTCGCGCTCTTGTTCTTGATCAAGGCCTCCACCGTGTTGATCGTCACCTCTTCGAGGTATTTCGATTTGAGCAGCCGTTTCGAGTACACTCGCCTCACGGGTATCGACCATTCGGCTGCGCTCAGCATGGCGTTCACGTAGGCTCGCTCGTTATTCGGGTCCCGCTGGAATGTGCTGATAACAAATGTCACAAATGAGGCGCGGAGCTTGGAGGACAAGGCGCCTAAGTGCAGTTTTTGACAAAATTGAGATATTAATAATTTCGAATAAATCTAGTCTTAATGCAGGTTCTGTGAAAAATTCGCTCCCAAATTCAAATTTTTAAGCATCAAATAATCAGTTTGAACTTTTTTTCCGCCATGAGGATCAATGCAATTTCGAAACTTCAAACACGTATTTCTCGAAATAGCAAAAACTGCACCAATGCGCCTTGTCCTCCGAGCCTCCCAAAATACGTATACTAGGCTAGGGGTCTGTAGCCGCTGCGCGGCCGCCAACCATTAAAAAAAAAACTACACGTAAAAAATCGGAGAACAACTATGTTCAAGGTATTTAAGAGATGAATGGATTCAAAAGCCGACGACGGGTAGAAAAAAGCGTAAAAAGAAAGCGTATTTATCTCTCATCGCAACGTTATGCACCACTTTTATGTTTCACTTTTGATCAATGCTTTCAAAAAGCCACGCACAGTTTTTCTGAAAACTTTCCTCGACTTTTCCTAAATGATCTCAAATGAAAGCATCGAGAATTTGGACGTGATAATTTTGTTCGTTCTATTTTCTTTTTATGTAACCAACAAAATTAAAAATCATCGGAGTTTCTGAGTCGTTACAATGATGATACATATTTTCTCTCTAATTATGGTAAAAACCGGAGCAGAGAGTCAAAAACGATGACACGTAGTCCTAGTTTAGCGGCGGCGACTCGACACGGCGACACTGAGAAATTACAACGATTAAAGCCTAAAGCGCGCACCGTGCTGTGCGTGCAATGCGTGAAGTATTTCAACAGTCTGTGCTGCGTTTGGCACATTGTGAGAAGTATTCATGCGTCTTGTAGGCGCTGTTATGCGCTTAACGCCGGCCGCACTAGGTTTGGCGGGATTAATCGAACTCGCGTTAGAAGAATCACGGTATCGAATAGTCGGGCTTAGGTCCATGTTGTTTTTGACGCAGTATGAGCATTTTAAGGTTGCCTCGTTTCTCCTGATATAATATTTTTCCGAGATAAGTTAGGAAAGTTCTCAATGTTCGCTTTTTTAGATTGAATGGACCATTTAACAAGGTACCCTTTTAGGCTTTCTGATACATGATTCTTCGCCTCAATCTCACGTTGAATACGATTCGCGCAACGAAAAATCTCGAAATAAACTCCTAGCCAAGAGAATAACGTTTTTATTGCACATTGGTTACGGCAAATTTGTATTGCCCGGTCACAAGAAAAACAATACTCTATACGCAAGTCAAATCGCGCACTACAACGGCTTTAACAAATTATTCTATGGAACTCCCACTCGAGATATTTTAATTATAAAGGAAGTAATTTATTCAAAAGAGGTAAGTATGCAACATGGCTTGACGAGCGTGTAAAAAATAATCAAACTTTTTTAACCTAGAGGCAAGGCGGAAATATTGCATACAAGTAAGAAAGTTACGATTCTGATACATTCAAGTAATTCTGCCACAGAATTCCGGCATTTACTTATTAGGTATTATTTCTGAACAATGTACCTGTCTATTTCTAGAGGTAAAAGCTGTTTCTAATAAATTGAACTATAGGAGAGATTGATGGTTCGGACCGAATCACCGAATCTAAAAAAAAAACAAGCAGTGAACTCCAACACAATGTGTTGATAAGGCGCGTCATTAACTCGCACATATCAACCCCTTTAGTTTTCATTTACAGAGATTTCAAAATAGGCAAACAGCATAAAAAGAGAATTCACGATCCAACACTGCGAGGTCAAAGACGCNTTGTATCGAGGGGGGGGGTCGAAACGATCGCAAAGGCGGTATACTACGTATACGCGCCAAAAATAAAATCGCATCAACATCGAAGCTCACATTAAGCTCAAAACTAATCTTGTTTCCCCCTCCCCTTCAACCTTTGACCAGTACCTTTTTTTAAATCAGTCTTCAAAACCAGTCAGTTTGCCAGCACTGCTGCCAGGTTTAGAAATTGAGGGACTCGGAGGACAAGGCGCATAAGTACAGTTTTTCTATCATCAAGTACGTGTTTGATATTTTAGGTGGCGGTAGGCCCCCGCCCAATCCTAAAAAACTCCCCCTAAAAATTTGGAAATTACAATGAACTTTACAGTGGAAAGAAAGTCCATGCTGACTTTTTGACGCTTAAAAAATGGGATTTTGGAGCAAATTTTTCACAGAAAATGCATTAAAGACTAGTTTCACTTGAAATCGTTGCTATCTCAATTTTTCCAAAAACTGCACTTATGCGCCTTGACCTCCAAGCTCCTCAGTTGTTCATTCTAAACATCTATAACATCATTCATAAAACGACTAGGTGAACTTGACAGGAGGTTTACTTAAAATTGTTTATCAACCGAAACTGAGGAAATCGATCTTTTCAACTCCGAATCTGTTTTTTTTACTCCACCGGGTGGTTTAGGGTTCCACCTCAAGGTACATTTTGCCTGACACCGCTTCATAAATATAAAAAATCTTGCCTGATGTATGCGATCATGGCCGCACATTGAAGGTCCGAGGGGGCGGTCGGGCCGAAAACCTCCAACTGGTTGCTCCTCACCCTCCCGTGCAATAGAGGCACACCTTTTTTGCAAGTCCAAAACCAAGGATCATCGCCGGTCCCTGACAGGGTGTAGTGGTCGCTTAGATTGGCCGGCTTCGGATAAGCGGAGAATAGGTCTCGCGCCTGCCCTGTCCCCAGAACCAAGACCAAGACACACAGAGCACACTTAACTCGATCCATTCTTCACACGCGAAATCCGGATTTCGGAAGGATACTCAAGGTATGGTCATTTATAATCAACATGATTAACTAAACTACGATAGTGCTGTCACCTAATCTGTGGAAAATCTCCGGGTAAGAAGTGATTAGTAAAATCCTTATCAATCGCATCGAATGTCAATTTTCTATAGATTCCTGTTTTCTATACTATTCTATACTATAAGCTCCGAGGCCTCCTAATTTTGCGAAACTGGTAACGCTTAGTTCCAGCGTTCTACCAGGCCGATTTTTATGATTTTTGCGGCTATCGACGGGCAATTGTCTCTAGTTCTATACTATAAGCTCCGAGGCCTCCTAATTTTGCGAAACTGGTAACGCTTAGTTCCAGCGTTCTACCAGGCCGATTTTTATGATTTTTGCGGCTATCGACGGGCAATTGTCTCTAGATAAGCCAACTCTTTTCAGATTTTCAAAATATGGCCCAGGTTTTTTTATATTAAGTGGTAAAGTTGCGAATTCTCCCATTTACACAATGTAAATTTATATTTTTTGTCATAGTTCGTTTGAGCGTTCTACCGGGCCGATTTCCAAGTTTTTTGCGGTAATCGACGGGTAATTGGACTGCATTTTGCAATGAGGGAGTATAAATTTCGGCCTGGTTTAAAAACAATGTATGTGCCATTAGTTTCCCTATGCACATAAGTGTTTTTTCAGATGAGCCGGAATTTATAGTTCCGAATTGCAAAATGCGGTCCAATTGGCCCTAGATGAGCCCGCTTTATTCAGATTTTGGATATAGGACCCAGGTTTTTTTACAATCACGTTATAAAAGTGAGTGAATTTTCAGAATGCTCCGAGACTGCTACCGCTTTGCGCGGGAGGATGCGCAGTGGTCGAGGAGGTTGCACAGTAGCTGTGTAGCCTGCGCATCAGCTATCTACACCTATCTACACAAGATTCGCATCGTCTCTCTCAGGATGAGCGGTGGTCGAGTCGTCAAAAACGTCGGAAGCGTCCACTCAGTTCATGGTGTGGGTTCGGTCCCCATCTCCCGATACACCTAATTATTACCTGATTATCAATATTCGTTGTTTTACTGCAATATTTCATCAAGCAGTCATTCCAAATCGCGCCCTTTAGACTTCAAAAAAAATGTTTGTTTCTTTATTCATCAAAACCAAAAATTATTTCATTCTAAAAGTAAAGTATACCTCATATCGTAATTTTTTAGGGGAAAAATAAATAAAACTAACACCGATAGGAGGGTAAAAATAGGGCCGCGAAGCGGCTCATTGATGGCGCGGAGCGCCTTCAGAGGGTTGGGCCGCGTAGCGGCCAGGGGGCGTAGCCCCCTAGTAATATACATCGACGAAAAGCTTGTTATCGGGATTCTAAATCCAACACACCGATCTACTTTTAATCGATGTGTGTGCATGGCATTAGTTGCGATAAATTACACCGTGCCGTACAAAAAACTCTGAATATTTCGGCGCTTCATCTATAAAGTATTATTTGGAATCAAAGTTGCATGGGGATAGCGCTACTTTGCCGTCCTAAGGAGGAACGCCGTATGAACATTCGAGAGCTGATAAATTTCCTTCGATAAAATATTTATTTTTGAGGAAATTATTGGATGTTTTTCCTTTCAAATTTTCAGGAACTTTAGGTGAGATTGCAAACAAAATTATCTGAAAAATCAGAAGGAACATATTCATAAGTTTACCAGGAAATTCATGTTTTATCAGAGGAAATTTGGCAACGCCTGAGGGCTCATACGGCGTTTTTCCTTAGCACGACAGTATTAAACTATTGACCGAGGCTGGATTTTATTTCAGCTCTCTGAGGATATATGCGTATAAAACTACTCTCCTGTGTCGAAAAACTATTATAATCATGGGGGAAAGGCTTTACAGCAAGCGAAGTACACAATACGACTATTTCGAATGCGGTAACCCAGGCTGCATAACCATCGAATTGAAGGAGCGTGCAATTTTTAGTACGTATTTGTTGTGAGTTTTTATTAATTTTTGCTGGGATACGAAATTGACGATCCATGCACGAGTGATGGCAGGGATTCAAGGAAAATGGCTCCCTGAGGGACTTTGCGAGGGAAAGGGATTGTGGTGGTTCAGTATCTCTGAGTGTTGAAGAGCGCTGAGGAGGGACTCCAATTTAATATTTTATTTGTTAATTTTTTAGCTTTTCAATTCTTAAAAGCACAGATAAATTGGATTACATTTTGCAATGAGGAACCTTTATCTCTGGCTCTCCCATAAAAGCACATATCTGCATGGGGAAACCAGTGGCATGTTTGTTGTTTCTAAAATGGACCAGAGATAGTGGTTCCTTATTGCAAAATGTAATCCAATTGATTACCAAATGAGGAATTGCGTGCATGTATACTTTCATTCCTCTTTTCATTGTATCGCATGCAGCAGCTGGTGGATGTTCGCAAGTTGCTGAGCTTTCCTCCAACTTGCGACACTTTCCTGAAATGGTACATCAGTAAGAAAACACGTTTGACGATAGATGAATGCTACCGTGCTAAAGGAAGAACGCTGTATGAACATTCGAGAGTTGCCAAATTTCCTTCAATAAAATTTTATTTTTGAGGAAAGATTAGAATCTTTTCCCTTGAAATTTTCAAGGACTTAAGGTGAAATTGCGAAAACAATTATCTGAAAAATTGGAAGGAAAATATTCATACGCATACCAGGAAATTCGTGCTTTATCAAGGGAAATTTGGTAACACCTGATGGCTCATACGGCATTCTTCCTTAGCACGGCAGAATGGGAGAGTGGACTGACGTCATAAAAGGCATAGAGCAATGAATAAATTCAGCGAAAAGAAGGATATGAAGTCAGGCGTTCGTTTAAGTACCATCACTAATTAGAATATCCCTGATAAGCGATGCATAGCTCGATTAAGGCAATACTCCAAGTTCAGAAAAACTGCAGAAGATTCATTCTTCCATTGAGATACCCCCTGTTTTTGTAGGTTTTTTCCTCAGTTTTACAATTTGTCATGGGTAGGAAGATAAAGTATGTAGTTCGCGCGTTAATGCAATGGCTCCACGGGTAGACTCTTTCGTTAACCCAGACTTAGTTTAGCATGCATGGTTTTTAAGCTCTTCCAACATCCCGCATGCCATTTAGATTCGCGGTTTACTCTCGTGGGTCTGGGCGTGTATAGAATCTTATAGTGGTTTTTACTTAGTTTGAAACTGACAGATATTTGAAAATAAGCTCCCCCCCCCATTATTTTAGATTTTTTTTTTTATTTTGGAAAAAAGTGAAACAGTTGTGTTTTTGTATCAAAAGTGAAGCCCTTTAAAAATATATATACATATAACAATAAATCATGGTAACTGTGCAAATAAAAAGGATTCTACCACTGCTTTCATTCTTTGCTCTCGCGAATGACTTGACATCTGCAGCAGGACCAACCGTTCCTGATTTTGATGTAATGGCGCATGTTGCGAAAATCAGCCAAATGGTTTCGTCCGGTAATGTAACAGAACTTTTTGCCCCTGGAAGTGAGCTCTATAATTTATCTTTGGCCTTCCTGGAAAAGTCTAATGCCTATGTAAAATCTTTGCAAAAAGGAGATACTGAACTAATCTCAAATCAATCACAGCCAATAAATTCCACTGATTCATCCAATGGGACACAAGTATCAAACCAATCGGACTCCTCTCCCAACTCATCCGCCGAAATGGGACTAGATCTTGTTGGGTTCAGCGAGAGGTTTCCCCCTGATATAATGAACTTTTCCCTCAATGGATCTATGATAGGACTTGATCTCACTAATATGACTGGGTTAGCCGACTATATCGATAATATGTTCGGATTAAACAACCCTGATCTACAGGCATTAAACTGGAGCATCAGTGATTCCGAATTAAATTTTACAAATTCATTTGATCAAGAAGGACTAGATGGAATCAACACCAGTGATTTTGAACCAGTGATCTATAGTGCTATAACCAATCAAGGAGGACTATCAAACCTAACCAATCAAGGAGGACTATCAAACCTAACCAATCAAGGAGGACTATCAAACCTAACCAATCAAGGAGGACTATCAAACCTAACCAATCAAGGAGGACCATCAAACCTAACCACAGGTGACCTTTTACTCGAATCAGATGATGCCGATTTTTCCAGCAAAGAATTACCAGGAGACGAGACCAGCTCTCTTGATGCTTCACAATTTAACAATACTTCTTTGGTCGGTCCAGTTGGATCATCAGACGGTACCCCCGAAAATGGCGATGACCTTTCCAGTCAAGGATCACCAGCAAACAAGACCGCCCTCCTCGATGGTTCACAATTTAACAATACTTCTTTGGTCGGTCCAGTCGGATCATCAGGCGGAACCCCCGAAAATGGCGATGACCTTTCCAGTCAAGGATCACCAGCAAACAAGACTGCCCTCCTCGATGGTTCACAATTTAATACTTCTTTGGTCGATCCAGTCGGATCATCAGGCGGAACCCCCGAAAATGGCACCGACCTTTCCAGTCAAGGATCACCAAGAAAAGAGACCGGCTCCCTCGATGGTTCACCCTTGAACAATGTTACTTCGGCCGATCAAGATGATGCATTAAGTGGACCTCCCGGTGAGCCCCTAGCCCAATTAAATGGCACTGGTTCCTCCGATCAATAAGAATCAAACAGAACTGACCATCTCCAAGAACTAACTTATTGGAAATAGCTTACAAAATATTTATATCCATTATTCATCCTGTGTAGCCCCTCAGTATTTTGTCTTGTTAGTTTTTTGCTCTTTTGAGTTTAGAAAATATGCACAATTTCATGAATATAATAAAAGATTTCGATGAATGAAGAAATGTTGCAATATTTTTTAATGAGACTGCATAGTATCTATAATGAGGTAACCCCGAGTCCAAGCATTATTTTAGCATTTATTATAAGGCATTTGTTTCTGTAACTTACATGTACCATCGATACTTGAAAAATTTGTGTTCTGGGCTAACAATAAGAAAAACTCGCTCAAAAGAGAGTCATTTCCCCATCACATCTTTCCGCAGCACAGGACAATTCATTGAAAACTTCGAGTAACTTTGTATTTTCGCCTTGCAAAGGAAATTAAAATCATTTATTGTTGGTATTTTCAAGTGAGGAGAATGGGAAATTGAAGTGATCTAGTCACTAAAACCATTTCGAGTGAATCACTCTTCTCTGCTTATTGCTAGGTCCGATTAATGTTTTAGGGCAAGAGAATTTCATTTTATCATGAATAACTTAAGATTTCTTTTTTTTAGCATCATGAAACGACCAATGCATAGTAACTGCATAAACTTTTCGGTATGTTCTGTTTTCGACAAGTTGTACAGCCGGCACACTGTTCATATGGAATTTCACTCCCTCTCAGTATGGAACAGTGGCGTGGCGTGCTTTGCGATATATCGACGGTGAAACTACCAAACCACGTATCTCGTTTGCGGTGTTTAAAAATTTACGCCCACATTTTATTTTTTTGAAGTAGACCAAATCAATATCATTCCTTGAAATTTTCACGAAATTTTCTCCGCACAAAGAGGAAAAATCACAGAAATTTTCAAGACTGGATGTTAAGTAGTTTTTCATTTAAAAAATAAAGTATGACAGGAAGTCTGCGACGTCGCAAACCGAGATACGTGGTTTGGTAGTTTCACCGTCGATATGGATTGTTAAGTCATTTAAACCTATGGAAAAGGATCGATAAACAGGGTGTTTGTTGCGAACACCTTAATAATCGATGCTTTACCATAGATTTAAATGGCAGATCAATCGATATATCGCAAAGCACGTCACGCCACTGGTACGGAAATCAGTGAGTCGTTGAACGTTGATAGCAGTTGGTGATGTTACAGTAAAACTCTCTAATCTCGATTGCTGTATTCAATATTTCCTCTATGAATTCATTTTTTCAGAAAAGAAATCACCATTTTTCTACGCGATATTTCTTAGACGAAGGGAAAAGCCGAGATATTTCAATAATTAAAATCGAATTCACGGGGAAAAAGTAGGACAAAAAGTCGTTTGCAAAGTCATAAAAGCATAAAAGATTCCCTAACTACACGGTAAATGGGTTAAAAAAGGGTTCAATTGTGATTGTGTGAGGGGACATGCAAACAACGAAAAACCTGACCCACAAATTACTAGGAGAGTTTTTGGAGCGCTTGATAGTCGATGAAGTGCCTTCAAATTATAGTGATGCAAATGATGCTGCATTCGTGATTCTCACTCTGTTCCCATGACTTTTACGTATCAAATGAACAGGCATAGTTGCAAGAAACCTTTAAGTATACGTAGGCTAAAACATCAATGCAAAACATTAAACGCCAATCATATGTGATCAATCAAGGGATGTTTGAACTGAAATAAGGTAACAAGATATTAAACCGTGGGGAGAAATTTAGGGTTTGCTCATGCACGAGGCCACGGAAAAAACTTTATAATATTGCATAGAGCTCGAGGCTCGATTTTAATTTCATGCAGCAATACGAAAAATAAATTGTAACATTCAGACGAATGACTGTTAAAAATGAATCAGGGGCTTAAAAGTCTCAAAGTCGCTGCAACCTGAACGACTCGGCAGAACGGTTTTGTCCGGTTAATTTACCTGTTTAGCCCCGGGTTAGGGTAGGCAGAGTTTGCACCCTAGGTTAAGGGAGGAAAATCATGGAAAATGCTGAGCCCCACTGAAAAGTCGGTAAGTATCTCCCTCATTTTTTCATAAAATAACTTGAGTTTTTCAGGGTTTATACATAATGTACTTGATGCATTGTAGATTGACCATACCAAATTCAAATTATTTTAACTTTGCTAAAAGAAAATTTCAGAATTTTTTTTTTTTAAAATGGAAACTTTTTGGAGAAACCCACTTATATACGGTCGTAGGCCCTGGCGAACGGTGCGCAGAGCCCGTATATTTACAGGCGGAGGGCTCAACAAGTTGAATCTTTGTTTCCTAAAGTTTTAGAACTGGGCAAAAAGCAGCGGGCAGAATGGGGCGAAACGTAGTATGGATTCCACACGAATTTAAAAATTGATCGGATCAAGAACTCCGAATTTCAAGGTATCCAAGCTCTCTTGACCCCCCTTGGGAAGTCCAAGGGGAGGGGGTGCAGCCAAAATTCGGAATTTCCGGGGGTTTTAAGTGGGAGTTTCGGATTTTTGGGTTTTCGAGTCTGTCGATGGTCGCTTTCTTACTTTAGTATAGAGTCAGAAAATCTTTCCATGATTTTTCATTGTGATAATAAAATTTCATAATCTTGACGGAAAACCCAAATTATAAGTGCAGCCTCCCCCCCCCCTTCCACATAAACATCCCAAGGAAGGTCAAGGGACCATGTACCATGGTTCGGTGACCATGAAATTCGGATTTCTTGGTGTCAATGAGCTAGGATACAACCTTTTTTCAGAGAATTTACATAAATTTTGCGACCGAAGAGAAATTTCTGGAGGGGGCATTGCTTCCTTCTTTTGGGGGCATACTTTTAGGCGTTGCATGGGTCAATTTGAAGTCTTAAGGGTCAATTATGGTTTGAATTTGTCGTGTTCTTTAATTTGGATGCAAGCAATTGGCGATTCGGAAGGGAGCCCCGACTTTTAAAATTGAACCCTCCCTGTTGACATCTCAAGGATGATGGGAGGGGTTCTGAGGCGATCAAATTCGGATTTCTTGGGGACAATTTCCTCCTCCACTCCGCGATCCCCGACCTCGAATTACGCACAGCTGTCTGTGCGCAACCACGGTATTCCCTGCTTTTTTGAAAATTGGCGGGCCAATTTGTATATTTTGCCGAGCGCGGCACGGAATAGGCGGGAACCAATGAGAGTGGAGGTTTCGATGTGTTTACAATATGTTTGAGCCGTTTGACGATAAAAGTTTGACCAGTTGACGAACCATTCCGATCACAGGGTCACCGTTGGGGCTTGTTTCATTCGCGCGTTTTTCTACCTCCCTCGCACACATTGGCGACTCGGGTGGAAGTCATATCCCATGCACAATTGACTTTGTTAACATTTTCTAAAATTCAAGTAGCGACTTTGGCATGCAGGTGATCGGCCGATAGGCCAATCACAGTCACTTCATAGTCTCTCCAGTGCTGTTCACATGTCATTGTTTCTAAAACGAAGGTATGCGACTCCACTCGAAGGTTGCAAAATTTACTCGAACAACTCAATGTCCTATATGAGGATGACTTCGTGAGTTCTTTTCAAATTTGGCTGATTTTTTAGTGTCATTAGAGGGGGAAAAATCGGTGAACTTTTCAGGTAGAGATGCCGTACAGTCTCCTGGTAAACATTTTGCAACTTTCGGATTTAGTTACGTTCTTTCGTCCGGAAAACAGCAACCTGCCCCTTTCATTCGATAAACAGAGCACGTATATGCTATTTACGGGAAGGTGACTTTACTACTAACCGCGGCAAAATATCGACCACTCCTTCCGCTAGTTTGTCGCCAAGTTAGGGCTATTATTGCCAAACAAGGAATGAGGGACGGCTGGCTAGGTAATATCTGGCGACAAGGCTGCGATTGCTACGAATCAACTTCACCGGACTCGTTTCATTCACTAACCCAGATCGGTCGGATCGCATTGGCCGTCGCTTACAACCGATACCGTTTTCGGACATCCTACCCGTTCGCCGCACGGTGAGGGAACATGGAATACCGGGGACCAACAGTTCAAAACTCAGGCTCTTCCTTGTTTTTTGGCAGCACAAATGAGGGGCCTGGAGGACAAAGTGCATAGGTGCAGTTTCTGCTATTTCGAAAAATAATTGTTCGAAGTTTCGAAATTACATGGATCCTTGTGGCGGACAAAAAGTTCAAACTGACTTTTTCATGCTTAAAAATTGGAATTTGGGAGCGAATTTTCCACAGAAGTTTAAAGTTTTACCTACTTGAAATCATTAATATCTCAATTGTTTCAAAAACTGCACTTATGCGCCTTTTACTGAAGCCCCTCATACGTAGTTTATCGTAGGAGCCTGACAAAAGTAATTGTGTCTCCTATTTTTTCATCTATTTATTTATTTTTATTTTATTTTATTTTATAATTTTTTCGGTCAAAGGGACTCTGTTATCAGCTTTGACTGATTAGTTTTCTGAGCTCTGATATTTGCCTCTTGAAACTCAAGTTATTTACCGGCGCGCGCAGGGTGCGTTGCCACATGGTGCAATCATCCACACAAGGCACACACTAAAACCGGCCGGTGGTAGCGCTCACTTCCGCCATGCGTCATCCACTCTGATGCGGGTGCGGAAACGGAACTCGTTTCAAAATATTTAGCCAATGAACGGTGAAAGAGTCAACATTTGTATTCATACGTCAGCGTCTCTATGGATCAAAAAAGAGACAAAATCTTTTAAAAAGACCCCGAGGGCTCAGTTTAAGTGAGCTATGTATATAGGTTATAGGCGATGCAAAAGTCAAGTTCGGAAGTCAATGCTATTGTTTGCCTAATCGTCACCTTCTGGCCAAAGTATCACAAGTGCCATGCTGCGTTTAAAAAAAACCCCAGCAATATTTTATTATTTTACAGATAAATTTTTGGTTAAATCTGTTTGAGAATTTCACTGAATTTTTCTTTCTGCTGCCGATAAAATTTAATGAAATTCTCTAACAGATTTAATCAACAATTTTTCTGTAAAAAAATAAAATGGCAGCGGAAATTTTTAATCGTCGCATGGCGCGTATGATACTACTGTGGCCGGAAGGTGACGTAATTGTGATTTATGAGAAAGTTGAGTGATAGTCGCAAAATGATATATGATGAATATCGGTGTAAGCATTTAGATTTTTTCGCAAATATAGGTTTGCTAAACCAATTGCTCAACTTTTGGTAATTAATCATCACTACGCGAAAATGAGTGTTGACTTCCGAAAGTAACTTTTGCACGGCAGGAGAGATGCGGCAATACACGGTCTTCAACATATTGTCTCTGAGATGGATTGTGCACCAATATTATCCGACAGTGTAAGTGGTTTGGCATTTTAAAACTCGGGTTCTGGTCAAAGAAATTTGCACAGCAACGCAACATCACGCCTACGTCACTACAATTTTTTTTGTTGAAAATTTCGATCGAGTCAATCGCAACGGCCTGTGAGTCATATTTGTAGCTGATGCTCAGAGTACAGAAGATCAAAAAATGATTGAAAAGGAAGTTATCTGTTATTAATTGTTGATCTTCGCTAAAAATGACTGATCCATGAGCATTCCGAGTGAGTAGTTTAGACCGACGCTTTATGATCGCACCGTTCAGTTTTTAAATATATCTTAAAGCGGAAATTACACCAATGTATGATCTCCACTCATAGAACAAGGGCAAAGACACTCGAACAAAAGTCTTCGCCTCTAAGGAGGCACATGTCGGCAACGTTTTTTTCCCAGTATCAATAAAAGATGGAGTCTAAATTAATCAAATTAAAAAGCAAGCACACGACAAACATCATTATTAATGTAGAGGGGATTGGGGAGGAAAACCGCTCGTGTTCACGAAATACGAGTCCAGGGCCGGATTCACCTACTTGCCGTCCATGGGCCACCTGTATTTTTCCGCCCCCTTCTCATTCGTTTTGAAACATCAATAGATCATATTCGACAGGGGTTCGATGTATTATTTGGTTCAAAGCAACAGAGCATAACCTCAAACAAAAATTTCAGGATTCAATTTGAAAAGCTGAAAATGAGAAAAATCCAAACAATTAATTTCATTTTTCAATGCCATTTGGTACTCGCGAGAATAAAAATTCGATCATATGAGACCCGTTACCTCAGCTTTCTAAATTGACTTTTGAGGCTATGGTTACATATTGAACCAATCGACATCAATATAATCTCACCTGTGTGATCTGTCGAATACGATCTAGAAAAACAATCAAGTGAACGTGCCGGTGGGAGAGGGGTACACAAGACGCGTTTACTCGTGTTGAACACATTTTTTGTGAAAGCTCTGTCAACACTAACAAAAGTTCAGTTCCGTAAACCCATCCCTGTTTGGGCAAGACCTTCCATTTATAAAAAACGAACGAAAAAATTATGAAAGAACAAACATAAATGTGGTTAATAATCTTAACTTCCACCGCCGCGTCGACCGCACTGTGTTGGCGCAATGCGTGAAGTATTCATGCAGTCTTGTAGGCGCTATGCGTTTCACGCCGACCGCTGCTGACCACACTATTCGGCGCAATGCTTGAAGTATTCATGCAGTCTTGTAGGCGCTATGAGTTTCAAGCCAACTGCGGCTGACCGCAGTGTGTTTGACGCAATGCGTGAAGTATTCATGCAGTCCTGTAGGCGCTATGCGTTTCATGCCGACCGCCTCACCGCTCCGTTCCAGGTCAAATTGCGCGAGTGGTTTCTCTCTTAACTCAACTAACTAAAGGTGTTGTCTCTTGTATCACCGAAAGACGACAAAATTAGAAATTACTACACTTTCACTCTCAGGAAATGAGAGATTTGGTCGCCTTTTCGCGTTTGTAATTTATTTTCTGAATCCGATTTTTTCCTCTCTTTTTCACCTTTTTTTCTCTCTTTCTTAGCCTCTTTTCCTCGGCTCTTTCACCCTCTTCATCGCGTTTTCTTACTTCCTCTCCTTTGGTCCTCCTCTCCCTAATTCAACCTGTGTGTGACACCATCTTCCTTCTCCCCCTCATTTTTTCTTTTTCTCACTCTTTCCCTCTTTCTCTCTCTTTTCATCGCCTTCTCCCTCTTTATCTCTCCTTTTTCCTCTTTTTCTCGAATCTCCTTTTCCCTTTTATTCTCCTTTTACCTCTTTTTCTCTCTTTTCCCTCTCTGCTTCCCTCTTTTCCCCTTCTATTTCCCTCTTTTCTCCCTCTTTTCTCCCTCTTTTCTCCCTCTTCTTCCCTCTTTTCTCCCTCTTTTTCCCTCTTCCTACCTCTTCTTCCTTCTTTTTCCCTCTTCTTCCCTCTTCTTCCCTCCTCTTCCCTCTTTTTGCCTCTCTCCTCTCTCCCTACCCCCTCGTTTTCCCTAATTTTCCCTCTCATTCGGTCTCTTTTTCTTTCACTCCCTCTTTCTTCCCCACTCCCCCTTCTTCTACCAATGCGTGACCCAGAAGCCTTCCAAAACCTAAGCGAGAGTCAAGTCACCCACCAACCAGTCACTTATAAGCGGACAATAGGCAACAACGGGACGCGTGGAGACGCCAATACGTAGCAAGTTGATCCGACGTCGTCGGGCGTCGCGACGCGCAGCTCGTCGACGTCGCGTCGCGGTGCCACCGACTGCAGCCGCGGCCAGCGCGAGTGCATCGCGACGCGACGCGACGGGGACGCGCACTTTCCTACCGGCATCGAGACTTGGGCAGCCCGCGGCCAGATCGCCTCTCAGTTTCCACTCGACCGCGATCCTGCTCGCAACTCCGCGCACCGCGCCGCGCACTGTGATTGTGTGTGTGACTGTGTGTTCCCCACGTGTTCACCATGTCGGTGGTAGACAAACCCAGGATTATCTCCGCCGAAGTCAAGAAGAGGAATAATTACCTCAAACGGGACTTTAAACGCCCCCATATAGCTGGTCAGTTTTTCTTTTCTTTTTATATTATTATCATCATATTTATGAAATTCACGGAAAAATGGGTAAAAGTTGTTGGATGATTTGACCAATATTGATTGTGGTAGTACCCTCATTAATTATTGTGGTACCGCAAGGAATTAGGTGAATATTGCGTTCCCACCCCAATTAATTAAAAATGCCTATATCATCCAACAAATTGAGGTAGCACCACAATTTTAGGGGAAAACCTCTGTCATTTTATTCCCACTGTTCTTCACGATAGAATCAGGTAAAATATAGATAGACAAAGTGCGAAACCACGTATCTTCATTAGTGACTTTGTAGACTTCCTGTTAAACTTTACTTTTTCTTCGAAAATCTGGTCTACGTAATTTTTTTAAACGTCCCTTGATTTTTCTTCGCAGTTGCAGAATATGCGTATACATCTTAAGTTATGAAGTTCGTTTATTCTACTACAAAAAATGAAATGAAAGCGTAAATTAGGTCCGAAATAGAGATTTGTGGTTTCATACTTTGGCGGTGTAGGGGAACATGAAATGACGCGCCAAACTTTGAGGGGCTAATCTTGTATCAGTTGGCGCTAAGAACACTTATAAACTTCAAAGAATGATCTCTTGCCATTAATGCTAAGTCTGTGGCCGAAAAAGTTGGAAGTTGAGGAAAACGCTGCAGAAAGCTTTCCGACCTTGTTGCTGCCATTGAAAACAATTCAGTTAAGACGCTCATCATTATAATGACTTAAGACCTTAATTCATTGCACTTAAGGGTATTAGACAGTTGTCTGCATCAAAAACTGCAAATCTATATTTTTATCCCCAAACCGGTTTTTTTCACTAAGTTTTGAAGCTGTGAGTGTTTTTTGCGTTCCAAAATGCAGAATTAACCCCTCTCTTAGCGGTTGTCTACTTCTATCTTCTTTTCACTCAAAGGACTCTTTTGCCTGACCCGTCCATCTTCAAATTTGTATAATTTATATATTGAAATGTATGCTCTACTACAATTAGTGCCATTGAGAACGTGTTCGTAGCAAATGAAGTAGATGTATCTCTTTATCTGTGCATGTTTGATCACCTTCGGAATCCGATTTTATTTTTTATTTTTTACAGTTTTCTTATAGTCATTTGCCCTTTTCTTTCTTTTTTGTGGCTCTGTTTCCCGAGATCGAGGTTTTTTTTTCTCTCTTTTGGAGATGGAAAAAAATGTAAAGAAACTTTTACGCTCTCTGGTGATTGAAAGAGTTCCTATCACCATTCAAAAAGCAAAACACATTAATAGCGAAACTCTAAAACCATGCATCTCAGTTTGCGACGTTGAAGACTTCCTGCTACACTCTAATTTTTTTTAAACGAAGAACCACTCAACGCCAATTCGTGAAAATTTGCGTAATTTTTCTTTTCTGAAGCAAATTCTGAGAAAACTTCAAAAAATGATGTTAGTTCGTCAGGACCGGATTTACTTACTTGCCGCCCATGGGTCGCCTGTATTTTGCCGCCCCTTCTCATTCGTTTTGAAACATCAATAATTACCATCAAGTGAACGTGCCGGAGGGGGAGGGGTGCATAAGACACGTTTACTCGTGTTGGACACAGTTTTTGCGAAATCCCTGTTAAAACCACTAGCAAAAGTTCACGGAACTTGGCGCGAAAGATAAACCTAAACCCATCTCTGTGTGGACAAGGTCTTCCATCTATATGATATGAACGAAAAAATTATGACAGAACGAACATAAATGTGGTTTAATAATTTTAACTTCCGCCGCCGCGCCGCGCTGACCGCACTGTGTTTGACGCAATGCGTGAAGTATTCATGCAGTCATGTAGGCGCTATGCGTTTCACGCCACCCAATGCTAACCGCAGTGACCGCACTGTCTTTGACGCAATGCGTGAAGTATTCATGCAGTCTTGTAGGCGCTAGCATGTGTTACATGCCGACCGCCGCGCCGCGCCAAGGGTTTCTCCTTTTAATCTCAAGGTCTCATCATCATCGGCATGTATCTGCGCCGCGCCGTTTCAGGCCAAATTCCGTGTTCGGTTTCTCTCCTAGTCTTAACTAGACTAATTAAAGGTGCTGTCTATTGTATCACAGAAAGACGACAAAATTAGTGATATACTCTCAGGAAATGAGAGATTTTGTCGCCTTTTCTCGTTTGTAATTTTTTTTTTCTGAATCCGATTTTTCTTTACACCTACATTTAAAAAATTGCAAAATTTGCCGCCATGTGCCGCGGCCCATCCGCCCATGTGGCCACCCCCTAAATCCGGCCCTGTAGTTCGTTCGCCTATGAAGAAAAAAAATGGGAGCGGAGATCATTAGACACTGCAAACGAGATACGTGGTTTGGGAGTTTTATCGTCGACCTGTGCTTTGTTTTGTAAGCGTTCTAGGTTTTTCTAATAATGTACGAGTATGTTACATTTCCATATACATTTTTGAACAAACTATGTAAACTTCAACAAACTTCAAATTTAACAACTACCTATGTATTTTTAAACCATCTCCTATTTATTCATTGCTTTTAGTCAGAAACTTTTTGATGCTTTATAGCGTGGAAATGCCATGAAGCCCAATAAATCTTATCTGATGAGTTGAGATGCATTTCACGATCAGATAAATTTAGATGCTCCAAAGCAAGGTCTCTCGTTGATGAAACCAGAAATGCCCTCCCAGATTTGTTTTTTTACGCATCTCAGTACCTTCTTATATAATCCGGAGAGGAAAACTTGGATTGGAAATGAGGACTGGACCAAAAATTTGCTACAACTAACTTACTAGAGTACTTTTAGAGTTACTCTTTCCTTACTAGAGCTGAATTTCTTGATTTGGTGAGAGGGCCTCTGAAAGTGAGTTCCAACCTACAAATTTTTGACTCGATAAATAAGTGACAATTTTACTAAAGTCTATGATGTCCTAAGCTTCATGGACCTTGAAAATCTTATCGGGAATCCTTTATGGGAGATCGCATATTTTTAAGGGCCAAAGATCAAGAGAGGTTTGCAAAAAATGCCAGGTCAGCGGTTCACTTTTCTCGCATATATTGCAAATTTTTTTCTATTTTCATGAGTTTGCAAAAGTTCCGACAATTTTCAGAATGTCTGGTTGCTCTTTGCCCCACACAGTTTTCCGGCCTATTGTGAGTGCTTATTGATGCAACAGTGTTCTCTCACATTACTCGCAGTTTTTCCTTTTTGTTTACTCCGTAACAACTCCTCCAATGCTTGTAAACCGATGATACACATGTGTAAACATGCTTCAAGTTCACATCACGGTTGTGGATTTTACGTAATCCACTGGTCAGTAAACGCGTATATTCTTCGATTCATCAAAATTTGAGCGTAGATTATTCTTTTTCATTAAGTCATGAGTCAATATTTCCAATATCCCTCTCATATACTGGTTTTTGGCGAGTTTTTTTGGTCCGTCGTGAGCTTAAAAACATAATTCTCACTTCTATAAAATTTGGAGGTCGAAAAAATATACTTTAATTCAAAGGAATCAAATATTCTGGCTATGCAGGCCCATTATGCCCTTGAAGCAGCCCTTGATAAAGTCCTTCGTGCAGCTCTCAAAACCCGTAAAAGTTGCCACTTTTGAATTCTTCCAACGAGATATTTCGCCACCCTGGCTAAGGTGTCATAGGCGTCATGCGACGTTTAAAAATTTCCACCGCCATTTTATTTTTTTTGTTCGAGAAATTGTTCGACGAAGCTGTCCGAAAATTTCAAGAGTGCTGCCGATAAAATTCAGCGAAATTTTCAAACAGATTCAACCAAAAATTCCTCTTTAAAAAAATAAAATGGCGGCAGAAATTTTTAAACTTCACATGGCACTTGCGATACTTTGGCCGGAAGGTAACGATTTTACGGCTATCCCACTATTACCGCGCGGGTTCCTCGTGGGTTCACCACTGGTGTCAAAATATTGCACAGACAGATAATGCGATGGAAAAAGTTCTCCTCAATTGATTTCTTAAGCTCGTCAAGAAACTGCGTCGAGTCGTCGCGACCGGCTTTCAGCGATGCGATCCATCAAAAAGTGACATCGTTTCATTCACAACTGCGTTCATTCATCCCGAGAACCGGTGTCGCCGTAGTATCCCCCGACAAGTTCCGATCCGTAAAATCGATGGAGCCTTAAACGGCGTTTTCTGAAACTCATCGAGAGCAGTGAAAGTGCGAGCTTTTATTCGAGATTCGATCCGCCTCCCGTACAAGGTTCGGGGGAGTCTCGTTCATTCATGGTTCTCCGAGTCGGGCGCTAATCCTCTCGCTCCGAAATCGGTCGAGATCTGTGACAGTAAGGAAGTGATTCAGCCCTGGACTTTTTCTCCTTTCTATGAGCCTCGGATATCTCCAACTCCTATAAAAAAGACACGAAGTTTAAGACGGATCTTCAGCTTTTGAAGAGCTTCGATATACTTGATTAGTCGATTGAAAATGCGTGGATTTTTACGTAGGTGGATCTAGATACTTCGAACGAGGGAGGGGGGAGGAAGGGGGGCACGGAAGGCTTCCCCCAAAAAATTTTTGAAATTTGAAAGCATATTATGTGTAGTTTGAGTCAATTTCGTCATGAATAATCGCCAAATATAAGCGACACTCCTCCGTTTCTTCTTTCTTTCGCTCTTTTTATCCTCCGTTTCTTCTTTCTTTCTTTCTTTCATTCTTTCCTCCGTTTCTTCTTTCTTTCGCTCTTTTTATCCTCCGTTTCTTCTTTCTTTCTTTCTTTCATTCTTTCCTCCGTCTCTTAATCTCAAAATTTAACCTTTCCCCTCAACCCTTTTGTATTTTTACTGATGTAACCTTAATTTCCATGTAAATTTATTACTATTACTGCCTTCTTTAGAGGTGTAAATGGCCTTAGATGCTAAAGCACCACTTTGAAATAAAATTATTTTACTACTACTACTTTCTTTCTATCTTTCTTTCCTTTTTCTACCTCTTTTTTAGACAATGATGGAGTTTTTTAGCCATCGTGCGTAAAAGTTCAGCTTGGGAAAGAAA